TTAAATCAATTAAAATTACATAAAGTTAAAAATTCCCTCCTCACTTACACCACCCACATTTCAAGTGCTGAGTTGCCACATGTGGCTAGTGGCTGCTGTACCGAACACGCAGGCAGAGACCATGTCTATCTCTTGGACAGCACTGCTGGAGAACTAAACTGACTTAACACGTCACAGTCCCAGCTTTGCTGGGATGGCCTTTGTCTCCCTGGGTAAAGAGGGGGATGGCGGCAGGGGCTGATTAGGCCTTAGCTCCAGAGCCTGTTGTCTGCGACCCCTCCTCTCCAGAGACGAGAGGCTGGTGGCTTAGCCTGGGCAGGCCAGGTCATCTCCTGACCCCACTGGCTGGGTGGAGGGAATGATCCTCGCTTCTGCACCCCTCACCACAGGGTCCCAGCTGGCTGGGTCCTCTTCCCTGTGTTCTTCTCTGGCTGTGTTGGGAGTGAGCACCTCTTCTGTAGCCACTTCACACTGTTGTCTGTTACTGATTTTTTTGATAAAAAGATAATAAAATCTGGTACTTTCTAGATTGCCTGCCTGTCATTTTAAATGTCATAAGAAGTCATCCTTTCCAGGCTCTGTATCCCTTGATCTCAGTGGAGCCTGAGATAGTTGCCCTGACCAAATGCCCTTCCGGATGCCAGACATGGGAGGGGGAGAAGTAAGAAGCCAGCAAGGACCTGGAGAGGAGGGAAGAAAGTCAGAACGCCCACGCCCACACTGAGCTGCAGCCTGTGGGGCGTGTGGCGCCTACCTCAGTGTTTTGTTTAGGCGGCACCGTGTTTAAAAAACAAACACTAAAATCCTTGGATTAGTTGCCAGCTATAAAATGACGTTTCCCATAAAAATCCAGATTCCCCATTTCCCTTAGAGGAAAACAAGATATGGCAACGATCAGGCCTTGCTGACGGGCGGGTGCCTCGCTACAGTCTCTGTCCACCTACTTCACTCCTGTCACCTGCATGGCCTCTGCACACACTCTTGTTAGTGGGCCCTGGACCAAGTACCATTGATGCCTCTCTTGATCCTGTAACAACCCTGTGAGGTGGGTAAGATCCTTTTCACCAGGGGGACAACTTGCCCTTGGCGTGTCCATGCCAAGTTAAACCTTCATGCCAGGGCCTTGCCATTGGTGGTCTTCCCTTGGTGCCACGTGGCTCACGTCACATGTGCACATGCCAGGAACCCACTCTATGCTTTACGCCTTTACCCATTTAATCCACCACTCTACACAGTAGGTGCTATTAGTATTCCCATTTTACCGAGGGGGGAACTGCAGTCAGGTTAAACCCACAGCTTACCAACAGGAGAGGTGGGATTTGAACCCTGGCCATGGGGCTCTGGAGTCTGCTCATAACCACACTGCCTGTCAACGGGATTATGTCACCCAGAACCCCTTTACTGGGGGCTCCTTGGGCCTCACAAGCTTCCTCTGAAGCAGTGAGTCTGGTTTCAAATTCTTCCCGAGGCCCCTGCTACCCTTGTTTTCCTGAGTCCCATGAGGCTTGAGTGGGTTTCTGTTCTTTGTAACTTGGGTTTTGCAGAAGGCCCTCACTTCTCTTACATCTGTACTGCCCAATACAGTGGCTACTTATACTTAAATTAAAATTAAAAAAATTAAAATTCAGTGCCTCTCAGTTGCACCAGCAGCCACATTTCAAATGCTCAATGGCCACATGTGGCTAGTGGCTACCCTATTGGATGATGCAGATGAGAAGGTTTCTGCTGTCGTAGAAATTGTGTTCGGGCCGTTGGATGCTGTAGGACCGTGGGTCAGGACCTTTCGAGTTGGATTTCAGCTCACTGGCTGTTACCTTGTGCTCCAACAGCCTTCGGGGAGGTAGGTTAGAGCCTGCTACACAGTAAGCGCTCAATAAGTGGCACTTTAGTCTCATCAGTGCCATCTTTTTGGTAAGATATTAGCTCCCGAAAGCCCCTATATTATCTATTACTGTGTAAAATTACCCCCAAACTTCGGGGCTTGTGACAACAATAAATATCATGTTGTTTCTGTGGGTCAGAAATTAGGAGCAGGGGCTGGCCCCATGGCCGAGTGGTTAAGTTCGCGCACTCTGCTGCAGGCAGCCCAGTGTTTCATTGGTTCGAATCCTTGGCGCGGATGTGGCACTGCTTGTCAAACCACGCTGAGGCAGCATCCCACATGCCACAACTAGAAGGGCCCACAACGAAGAATATACAACTATGTACTGGGGGGCTTTGGGGAGAAAAAGGAAAAAATAAAATCTTTAAAAAAAAGAAAAGAAATTAGGAGCAGCTTGGCTGGGTGATTTTGGGGTCTCAGGAGGTTGCAGTCAGTGTCGGCCAGGGCTGCAGTCATCTGAAAGCTCGACTGGGCTGGAGGATCCACTTCCCAGATGGCTCACTTGCACGTCTGGCAAGTTGATGTTAGCTATTGGCAGGAGGCCTCGGTTCCTTGCCACAGGGGCCGCCATAGGGCTGACTGACTTGTCCTCAGGACACTGCAGCTGGTTTTTCCCAGAGAGTGAGCCAAGAGAGCCAGGTGGAAGCCTCAATGCCTCTTATGGCCAAGTCTTGGAAGTCACACACTGTGACTTCCACAATGTCCTATTGGTCACACAGGTCACCCTTATTCACTGTGCAAGGAGACTACAGAAGGGCAGGAGTAACACCAGGAGGCAAGACTCATTAGAAAGCCATCTTCAAGACTGGTTACTATAGCCACATTGCTGCTCAGCCCTGCACAGGGGCTAATTTATCTGGAGAGCTAACTCTGAGTGGCACTTGGTATAACAGTATTTCTGAGAATTGGGCAGGGGGTGCAAAGTGGGTTTTGGACAATATTGGGCCATTTTTGTTCATAATACTGCCAATCTTCTGAGGCAGCAGAAGCAATAGGCCTGAATGGGGTGATTCCTTCATGGGGCGTGGGAAGGCCTACAAGCCAAATAGATTTTCCCTTCCCAATAACTTGCTATGCACTTTTGGGGAGTAGAATGGGCAGAACTCTAAGACGGCCCCCAAGATTTCTGTCCCCTGGTGTATACAACCTATACATTTGCCCTGCTTGAGCGTGGGCAGGACCTGTAAATACGATGGATGTCACTCCTATGATTAGGTTACATTAGATAGCAAAGATGAAGGGGTTTTGCAGATGTCATTAAGATTGATTTTTGAGTTAGCCAAAAGGGAGATTATCATAGGTGAGCCAGACTTAATCATTGAAAGCCCTATAAGAGGATCTGGAACCTTCCTGCTAAGAGTGATGCTCTCCTGCTGGCCTTGAAAAAGCTGCCATGAGTTCTACAGCTGCAAGGACATGAATTTTGCCAACAATCGTGAGCTTGGAAGAGGACCCTGCGCCTCAGAGAGATGGCAGCCTGGTCTGACACCTTAGTTACAGCCTCGGGAGACCCTGAAAAGAAGACCCAGCTCAGCTGTGCTTGGACTCCTGACCCACAGAAACTGTGGGACAATAAACGTATGTTGTTCTAACCAGCTGCGTTTATGGTAATTTGTTACGCAACATAGAAAACGAATACAGGAAGGTGGCTTACCTCCTCTGGACCGTCAGTTTCCCCAGGTGCCAAATGGAAGGAGAGTGCAGTATTTAGATCATCTCTGAAAGTGCTTCTGGAGTCAGGACGGCACCTAGCCCATACCGAGTGGTTACTGTGGGCCAGGCCCTGTTGAAGGTACTTTACCTATATTAGTTATTTTATTCCTTGTGACATCTTATGAAACAAATACTATTATCCTCATTTCCAGAAGAGGAAATTGAGGCACAGAAAGGTTAAGTGACTTGAGCTTGCCAAGCTCACCCAGCTAGTACATACGGTTTTGATTACAACATGGCTGAAAAGCCGCCATTAGATGTGCATTCTTTCATTTCAAGGTGACCCCTCTGAAAATACATATGAGTAATTAGTGTGAGGAGAAGGGAATATGTATATATACATAGTAGTGTATGTATATACATGTACATACCAGGACAAAAACAGCCAAGCCCAGGATCACCTACCCACCCAGGGTGAGGTGCACTTTCAGATGCCAGCCAGGGAGAAGGGTGTTTCGAACCAAATGGGGGCTTGGGGATGAACGTGGCAGAGTGGCGCCCACTTCGACACTCTCATCACCCGAGTGAGTCCATGAGGAACTTGGTCACAAGGCTCTGACTTCCCCCAGAACTTTGCCTGCCCCTCTGGTGGCAAGCAGCCAGCAGTAGCAGGTGTTTACCACTTCACCACTGAAAGCATTACTGTGCCACTGCTGCCCCGCCTGCCTTTGTCCCTTGGGGTCTGGAACAGAGCCAAGACTGAGGAGCTTTTTTTGGGTGAGTATGGTCAAGATTGGTTCTTGAAAAACTTAGTAGATATCGTCTTGTTGGTTTCACTCCCTTTAAAGTCACTTCCTTTCTCCCTTGTCATCTTCACGGTCTGTGCCTGCAGCGGTCTACATCCTCCCTAGGGAGGAAGGTGTCTGAGAATTTTCCCCACACTGTGGTTGTAATGGTTTCTCTTTGAGGAAACCCAACTTAAAAGAAACAGAAGAGAGAGGAAGAAATTCAAAAGTCAGCGCTTAAACCGGAAGACCAGCTTGTTCATGGGGGAACCTCAGACTGTCTGAGAGCTGGTAAGCTGGGAGGATTTGGTACAGAGATTTTGACCTTATCCTCACCATGTGAGAACCTCAGAGCCCCAGAATTCATCAGTATAGCGTTCAAATCAGGCTCTGCCATCAACCTGCTCTAAGGGCTTCACGAGCCTTCTTTCTCAGAGCCTCAGTTTCCCCGTCTGAAAATGAGGAGGAAACGTGGACTGGAGCAATGGTTCTCAACTCTAGGCGGTGGCAGGGGGGAGGGTGGTGGTTGTTCTGATCCTGAGAGCACAAAAACATTAAGACATTAAGATTATCTTTAAGGACCCTAATGTTTAGAAATAAGTGAGAACTCAATTCTTGAGAGGGGAACAGTGCCACCTTCTGGTTTCACTTTGCACCTGCAATATCCAAACATCCACCAATGCAATGCAATGCAATTTGGTATTTATTGAGCTCCAACTCAACGTTCAAGGCATTGTAATGTGCCCTCTAGGACACGCAGTGATGAGCCTCTTTCCACAGGACGCTCACAGTCTAGGGGGGACAACTGACATGTACATAAAGTCCTTTGATCCAAGGTGGGCAGTGACATGGTCCCAGTGAGGTTCTGTGGGAACACAAGGTGGAGAGCCTGGGGTCAGGGCTGGCTTCATGGGCGTGTGATCTGTGCATTCACACAAGGCCATGTTTAGAAGGGCCTGGCCCTAGGCTAATGCTCTGCTGTCACTGTCTTGAAATCCTTAATAATTTTGAACAAGGGGCTATACATTTTCATTTCATACGGGGTCCCACAAATAATGTAGTTGGTCCTGCCGTGGGGAAACCTTGGAGGAGGTGACATCTGAGCTGGTTTGGAGGACAGGGCAGTAGTGGAGGAGGAAGAAAGGAGGAAGCCTCTTCCAGTGTGGAAGGAGAGGTGGAGTCCTTAGGCCTTGGTGACAGTGGTGTGGGGGAAGGAGAGAGAAGATCAGGTGCTGTGATGGGGGTGGAAAGGGAGGGGAGTTTGGTGTTAGATGGATTCAGGCTCCGGGCTAGGAGGGCATCCTAGGACAGTCCAGCAGCTGGAACTCAGAAGACAGGCCAGGGCTAGAGCTTTGAGGTCACAGACTTCCAGGGGGGTGCTTAGTGGGCCCACGGGTCCTAGGGTGCCCTGGGGGAGTGCAGAAGGAGACGGAGCTGCAGGCTGGGCCTGGGCTTTCAGGTCAGCCCAGGTTCTTAGCTTCTGAGACTCCCGCCTTGTGGAGTGGCAGAGGAAGTCCTTGAGGGCCGGGCTGCAAGGGCCCTTGAGCCCTGACTCTGCGTGTGGTGCACTGTGAAACTCCCCTTAGCCTCCTACAAGTGGCTTCCTGCTTCAACGCCGTCATGGGGCAGTGAGCTCGAACCTTCCGGAGGCGGGGGCACTCCTGTTGGGGACATTTCCCATGTGACTCTTTGCCTGCATTCCTCGGGCAGGATTCACTCTCGGGGGCCATGAAGGGCTTTGAACAGGCGTCTCCCTCCCCGACATAGTGGGTTTCAGCCTGCTGATGGCAGATGACAGGACTTCATCAAGACTTTGCGATCCTGCCATCTGGGAGTCTAAAGGAGTAAACCCCATTCCCCTCCCTTGGGAGATGTCAGCTTCTTCTTTCTCAAGGGGCTTTCCACGTTCCGGGGGCAGGAGCGGGGGAGTTCCACAGGAAATGAGCCTTTCCTCAGAGTTCAAAGACTGGGCCCAGGAGGGTGAGAGCCCTGAGCCTACATTTCAGACCGGTTCTCCCCATTCGACACCACGAGGGAGGGATTGGGATGGGCAACTGGCACTCATGATACATCTGTATCCTTGGTTCTAATGGCCTGAGCCAGGACCCTGCCTGGTCTGCTGCTTCACTGTAGAGCACAGACTTGGAAGATGGTGGGCAGGCTGCTCAGGAATGGGTTGTGATTTGGTCCCTGGGCCCCACGCAGAGAAGTTCCTCTCTCAGCTGGGTTGTTGCCCAGTCGATCCCAGGACTTCTGCCCAGAGCTGTCCTGGGAAAGCTCTGTTCTGTATTCTGTTTGCCTCTGGGCCTGGGGTGCATTTTGCTTGAAGTGGGGGGGAGGGGGGATAGCTAGTAGGATTACTCATCCTCTGAGCCGACAGGTGTCCCCCAGGGGATCAGGATGCTAGCTCCTTCTGAACCCCATTCCTTCTCCAGAAAGGATCAAAAAGCTAGGCTCTCTGTTCCATCGGACTTGTGGTCCCTTCCTGTGTGTGTGTGTGAGGGTGGGGGAAGTACACTGGGCACCTCCCTCCTCGGGGAGGTGGGTCATACAGACCAGATTCTGCCTTGGATAGGGGTTGATGCTAGCATGGCAGAGGAATCCCCGGTCCTCAGAACTGCATCCTACAGGGCCTGCAAGGGCAGTGCCTGGGTGGACGGATAAGACAGGAGACCTGAACACTGTCCCAGCCACCTGCCCCAGCTGCCAAGAGCAAACACAGGCAGAGGTACTGTGCCTGGCTCCAGCCATGGGGAGTCCAAGGAAGGGCAGGTTTTTGTATTCCAGGCTGGAACCCAGTACTCCAGGGCAGGACTCTCAAGCTCCAGGGGGCATTCAGTGCTCCAAGTGGGATCCAGTGTTCCACATGGCACCTGGTGCTCCAAGTGGAACCCAGGGCTCCAGGCAGTACCCAGGGCTCCAGGTGGGGCTTGGCACTCCAGGTCAGCTCTAGCGTGGTGGGCAGGACCTGGTGCTCCGTGGCATGCAGGTCATGCCTCACAAGCCATGCTTGGGCGTGTGAAACTATGTGTTTTCTCTTCATGAGGAGACACAGCTGCCTGGAGGGTGAAATGCCCTCGGCTTGGCTCCTCAGAGTGTGTGAAGCTGTGTGTGAGACACGGGAGAGACGGAGAGAGACAAAGATGGAGGGAGAGAGACACACAGATCTGCAGTCACTGCGAGAGACAGAGCGACTGAATGCTTGAGCTAGAGTGCAACAGAGACAAAGACAGGGAAAGCCACACTCGTGCGTGGACACAGAGAGCATCACTCAGGTCGTGTCTTCCCAGAAGTAAAAGGACGAGTGACCGGGTTTCTCGCTGGGCCAGGTTTCTCCGGCGAGAGCCTTCTGCTGCTGGGGCTGCCTCCTTCGCTCCCGCAGCAAAGGCGCAGCGAGCAGAGCCTAGGACCCAGAAAAATGGCCCGGGGGCGGACCTCAGCCGCAGGGTCCAGGCCGCCCTTAAGTCTGGATGAAGAGGTGGAAGTTGGTGCGCGTGAACTCGTGGTGGATGCTCTCGAGGAGCGCGTCGGCGTCGGCGGCGGGCTCGGGGGCACCCGGGGGCCCGGGCCGCGCGCTGTATTCGGGGGAGTAGGTGAAGGAGAAGGCGCTGGGGTAGAAGAGGCCGTCGGCGCGCACGAGGCTCACGGGCACCGTGATGGGCGTGCGCAGCCAGCGCCAGTCGCTGCCGAAGGCGGCCACGTCCGGCACCACGCACACCAGGGACCGCGGGCTCCTGGTGAGGGGGCACCGAGGTTAGGACTGCAGTGAGGCTGATGACATGCACCCCCAACTCCGTTCCCCGGGCCCAAGGGCGGCGCCCCCCATACCTGTACATGGTTTCAGCCTCCACGTTCCCGAACCACACCTTGAGCCCCGCGTGGAAGTTCTCACCGTGGAGCTCCAGCGTGGCCACGTCGCCCCCGCCACTCAGCTGGTAGAAGATGGGACCAGGTGGTGTGGGGGAAGGGCTGGCCAAGAGCCTGCTACCCTCTCTCACCAGCACCCCCCGCCCCCAAGCGCAGTCAGGGTCCACGCCCGCCAGCGCCCCCCAGCGCCCAGATTCACCTCGAGGGTGCTGATGAGGGGCACCGGAGTGACGGGCTCCCGGGTACACGCCAGGCTGGCGCTGAAGGAGAATTCCACCGACTCGGTACCGATGATGGTCCAGCAAGAGCTGTCGTTGAGCAGCGCCCTGTTCGCCTCCTTGGGGCAGGGGGAGGCCTGGGAGGAGACCCGAGGGGATGGGCAAAAGCTTCTGATGATGGCCCCCAGCTTGCGGAGCCACCACAGTGCCCGAGCTTCCGTGTTCCGGGTTCCAGGCCAGGCTCTGCGGTTTACCTGCCCTTTGAGCTTGGACAAGACCCTTAAGTTCTCTCAGGGTTAATAAGTTCGCTGGACTAGCTGATTTCTAAAGGTCTATTATTTTAGGATTCTAGAGTTCTGTTTTTTAACATTGTGCAATTCTGTGCCCTAACATTCTACAGTTTTAAAATTCTTTGGGAGGGAATATTGCTCAATAATGTTATTTCTACATATTATGATTTTATCTCAACATTCTATGATAATATTCTTTGGGGAGTAGTATGGCTTAATAGTAATAATAATTTTCCACATTCTATAATTCTGTTTTAGCATTCTGATTCTAATAGGCTTTGCTCAATAATACTCAATACAATTATTATTTACATTCTACAATTTCACATTCCAACATTTTATGACTCTAATGTTCTTTGGGAAGGAGTGTTGCTCAATAATATTATTACTATTTTTTTCCTACATTCTCTGACTCTGTCAGGATATGACAGTCGATGATTCTAACATTCTCGGGAAGGCAGTATTGCTCAGTAAGTAGCAGCCAGTATGATGATGATTACCTTGCATTCTATGGGTCTCTGCCTTCTGACTTTCTAGGATGCTTGGTGCTGACATTCTCTGCTTCTCACCTGGAACTGCACCACCTTCTCTGTGGCGAGACATAAGTAGCTGCCACCCCCTCCTGGAGGACCACCCGGAAACTGGAAGGCACACTTGTGCAGTTGGGAGATGGGCTCATCCACGTCAAGGAGTGCACACTGTTTGGCTACTTTGCGGATGATCTATAACAGAACGGTGGTAGGAAGCAGGGCGGCAAGGTGCCTGGGTGCCCTGAGGCTGCCCTCCCAGCCAGCTTTCTGCTACTCTGATAGCCAGGCAGACACTGGCAGATTCCCCCTGCCCAGGCCCTTTACCACCATCTAGCCCTACGAAGCACTGAGTACCTCGATTGAGACCAGTCTTCATGCCTTGGGCCCTCACCCTCCAGCCATGACCATGTGGGTCACAGCTTCTGCATGGATCTGGGGAGATCCCTCCAGGTATACCCTCCCTTTCCATACCATTGGAGGTAGTGTGATGCCTGTGACAGTGCAGACAAGCTGCACCAGGGAGCCATAGCGGACGTAGCTCTCTCGAGGTGGGAAGTCCCCCTGGGAACAGTGTTCATCAGCTGGAGGTGAAAGGAAGGAAGGAGGGTTTTAGGGGCCCCATGCTTCTGCCTCAAGCTCTGCCCTTCTTGCCTCTGGCTCCCCCTCACATCACACATGGGTCTTGTGGGTAAGGTTGGCATGCAGGGAGGCAGCTAAGGGTGAAGGTTTGCATCCTGGAGGGCTCATCGGTTGCCATCCTCACAAATGTCTGCCCCCTGGCGTGGGGCTTGAGATGATGGGAAAGGGCTGGATATTGGAGTGAGGATAGCTTGGATCAGAGACAGACCCACTGGGACTTTGGCAAGTCTTTTTGTGTTTCTGAGCCTTAGTTCTACTGGGCAAAGTTTGCTTTCCTTGAGGAGTTGCAGTGATGATTAAATAAGCTAATGCGTGTGAAGCGCCCAGCCCAGGGCCTGCGGATGTGTTTACCCAGGTGGAGCGTGAAGGCAGCCCACTGGCGCGCGCTGGCCACGAAGGCCCCGTCCTCCACAGAGAGGTAGCGTGTGGACACCGTCTGGGAGCGCAGGCGGTTGAAGAGGGAGACTTTGGAGCCCGAGGATATGCACACTGTGAGGGGAGGTGGAATCAGCACCCTGGCCCACGCTTGGTCCCTTGGACTTGCCAGACAATTTCCAATTCTCTGTCCCCTCTGCCAGTCTGGTTTATATGCCCACTGGCCTAGGTGCACTGGGCATTCCTATCTCACAGCTATTTATCTAGTAACTGCTATAGTCCTGCTTCTATACTTATTTGCCCGTTCCTTTCTGCTGCCTGCGCATCCTTCAAGTCAATAAACAGAATTTTATCAAGTATTCACTAAGTGTCTACTTTGTGGCAGGCACTGTGCTGGGCACTGGGCTCCAAAGGGTGAAGTAGACCCAGTTTTGCTCTGGAGGAGTTCACGGTCTTGGAGGAGAGACAGGGACATAAATATAAAATTTCGATATGATGAGGTAAGGCCTGGGTTAAGGAGGGCTTGCTGGAGGAGGCTATGCTCTCAGCTGGGGAGCACGAAGCAGGTAGGAGTTGCTCAGGGAGCTGCGTGAGGAGAGGCCATGTGGTGTGAGACGGCAGTACAGTTTTTCTAGGGCTTGACATTGATCTCTTGCAGCTTATCACACATACTCACACTCACACTCACACTCAGAGCCACAGTTTTGTTTTCTGATTGAAGTTTGACCAGCTGGGGAGAAAGCACTGGGTCATCTCCCTCTGTCTCCTCACGGTGCCAGCCATACTGTAGGTGCTCAGTTTATACTTAGCTCACGTTCTCATCCATTGAATAATGATGACAGGTACTGTTTTAAATGCTTACATGTATTAGCTCATGTGATCCGCTCAGCAACCATCTAAGGTAGATAATACCATCTCTACTTAAGAGAGCAACTTGCTCAAGATCACACAGCTAGCAAGTGGCAGAGCCAGGATTCAAACCCAGGCCGCCTGGCTCTGGAATCTCACTCTTAACCATCACACTATACCTCTTACCCTCCCTGGCCCTTTCCTGATGTGGAGGACCAGCCAGAGCACTGCCTGGATCTGAGACATTCTTCAGGGATTTTAACAGACAGCAAGTAAGTATGGTGTAGGGGTAGGAGCTGGACATTGACTCAAGTTCAAATCCTGGCGGGGCCACTTCCTAGCTGGGCAATCTTAGACAAGTCAGCTGGAATGTAACAGGCCCAAATATTCCTTAAATGAATAGATGTGAATGTTCCAGACCTCATTTTCTCATCTACAACATAGGAACGATGACAGTACGTACCTCACAGGGACATGGTGAGCATCAAATATGATGCTGAATGCAAATGCCTGCCAGGAAGGCGCCCCTTCTCCTACTCCCCGTCCACCTCCCAGCAACGGTAGTGGTGGTGATGGTGTTATTGTCATCTAGGCTTTTTTTCTTTTTCCTTCTTTCTCATATTCTCAAAAGCCCTTGCCCCGGGATTTGTCACTTGGCGTCCAGGGCCGTACTTATCTCAAACTGCCCGTTTGATCAGCTATGTGTGTCTCTCTCCCCTGCTAGACTGTGCATTCCTCCAGAACAGACACTTGTCCTTATTTTGTGGGGATCCAGCACCTGGCACAGAGCCAGGCACACAGCAGGCACTGAATAAATATTTTTCAGTGAATTTCCTCTGCCCTTTTATTGTCACTTCTAATCTGTCCTTCGTTCAGCACCTACCGGCCGTTTGGGGAGCCCCCAACTCCCCGCCCCGCCCCCCACCCGAGGTCTAGTATCTGTCCCTTTTCCCCTTTGCTCTGGCTTCTCAAACTCCTCTCATTCCCAGACTGAAGCCGCACCCCCTCACCCAGACCCCGCCCCCTCTCGGCTCAGACCCCGCCTCTCCCACTCTGACCCCACCCCTACAACCCAGGCCTCCCCCGCCGCCAAATCCAGCAGCTCCAGGCTTGATGGCCTCTCCCTGCCAGGCCGCGCGGTCAGTCCCCGCCCCGCTCACGGTCGGTGTTTTTCAGCGACTGCTTCTTCTGCGAGGGCTTCGAGATGACCTTGATGAGGCGGCTGTGGAAGGTGCCCAGCTCCCGGCCCCCTCGGAGCACTAGCCGCAGCACCAGCCGGAAGTGCTTCCTCTTGTCTGCGTCCGAGATGAACAGGGTCTTGGCGCAACCGAATTCCTGCGGGGTTCGCGCAGATGGGGGGCTATCTCATCCCAGTCGTCCGCCACCGGATGAACCCACCTCCCCCAGTTATCTGGCGTCCGCCCCGTCGGACGTGACCTGAAGCAGCACGATCCAAGCTCTGGGGCTCGCCCTCCAGGCAGAACCCGGCTCTCTCATCCTCCCTACCTATCCCTTGGCTTCTGCAGGGCAGTAAGCGAGTCCTCCTCTCCAAAGAGGGAGGGATGGGAGCAGGAATCGGCCTCCCTCCGATGCGCTCTCACCCTGGAGTCCGGCTGCTCCTCAAAATTCAACTTCTGCGTCTCGGCGGCACTTCCGGACGCGCCGTCCAGTCCCATGTAACCGCACACCGTGGGCCCGGTCTCCCCTGCCTGGTGGGCTGGAGAGGGACGCAAGCAGGCTCTGAAAGGACTCAGGTGCCAGACAAGCCACGTTCTCGCCGCCAGATGGCGCGGCTAGACTGCGCCTGCGAACCGCCCCGCTCCCAGGCTCTACTGCTGTGGTCCTCCTACGTGGGGAGGCCACGGCAGCCCTGGATTCCGCCCTCACCTTGGCCCTGCACTGGCTTCACCCTCCAGCCGGGACCTGCGAGGTAGACACAGGGCGGGGGGCAGAAGAACCTGCGGAGACACGTAAGCGCCGGGCTCGTATAGCATCTCCACTTGGCTGTCTTGTAGGCATCTCAAAAGTAGCATAAACCCGACAGAATCCTTGATTCGCCCTCCACCTTTGCCACCGCCCTCCCCAGGCTGCTCCTTGACTGAATCCCATTAACACTGCAGCCTTCTTTTACACTCCTTTCATTCAACCTGTCAGTAAATCCTGTCGACTCCACCTTCAGAACTTATCCGGAATCCTTTGGCTTCTTACCACTTCCACCTTAGTCCCAACTGCTGTCACTTTTTGCCTGGACCACTGCATCAGCCTTCAAACCACTCTACTTCTACACCTCTTCCCTTCAACCTCTTTTTCACATAGCATGCAGATTGCCTTCTCTTTTCTTTTTTTTTTTTAATGTACAAGTCAATCATGTTTATTTGACTTCTTTTTCTTTTTTAAGATTTTATTTTTCCTTTTTCTCTCAAAGCCCCATGGTACATAGTTGTGTATTTTTAGTTGTGGGTCCTTGTAGTTGTGGCATGTGGGATGCTGCCTCAGCATGACCTGATGAGGGGTGCCATGTCCGTGCCCAGGATTCGAACTGGTGAAACCCTGGGCCACCGCAGCGGAGCGCCCAAACTTAACCACTCGGCCACGGGCCGGCCCCGGTTTGACTTCTTAAAATCCTCCAGTGGCGTAAATTCAAAAGCCTCACATGATCTGGCCCCTGCTTATCTCTCCAACTTTATTTCCTACAACTTCCTCTCTCCTCCTCTAATACCAGCCACTCTGACTTCTTTTGTACCTTGAATCAGGCCAGGCTGGTAGAGCCTCAATCTGTGCATTTTCTTTTCCTTCTAATTGGAACATGCTTCCCCCACATTTTCTCATGTCTGGCTCCATTTTCACATTCAAGTCTCAGTTCAGATGTCACCTGCTTAAAAGGCCTTTCCAGCACCTTGACCTTTCTAGCTAAAGTACCCCGGCTCCAGTTTCTATCACATTACCTGTTTTGTTTCCCTTCTAGCTCTCATCACAATCTGGAAGTGTCTTGTTCACTGATTTGTGGGGACTTTATTGTCTGTCTCTTCCATGCTAGAGTGAAGATGCCATGACAGCAGGGACTGTATCTATCTTGTTCTGCTGTATGCCCAGTGCCCAGCAGTGCCCAGAGAGCCTGGCCTATTATAAGCACTCAGTAAGTAGATGTTGAATGAAAGGATGAATGAGTGGGTTAATGAGTGAATGAATGGGATTCATCCAGTCATTCACCCATTCAGCTGCAGATTCACAGGGAGGTTCTGCTATAGTGAGTCCTCTCCAGGCTCTAAATGACACTAAACAGGGAGGGGCGGCTGGGGCACCTACCGCTTCTCATTTCCATAGGATTTCTGGGCCACTTTGGCGTGCAGGATCCACACGGTTTGCTGGCACTGTTGCTGCAGGCACTGGCGCACGCCTTCCCTCAGGACCGTGGCGTGCTCAGGGGATGACCTGGGAGTGGGGGCAGGCCGGCTGGCCCGCAGCAGGGAGCGTCAAGGAGCGCATGGAGCCCGAGGTGGAATGAAATGAATGGGAGGGAGGGGCTGCTCCAGTTCTGCCCCCTGCAGGGCCAGGGAGAGGAAGTGTCAGGCAAGGGAGGGGACTTGCGTGCAAGTCATGGGCTAAATATTTGTGCTTCGAGGTGCTCAATGAGGCTTGCACTGAGCCCACCAGGACCACCCAGGCGCACTCCCAGGGTCTGGCTCCATGCCCATTACAGCCTGGAGCATTGAGGGGAGGTCCCAGCAGCACAAAGGCAGCACTTATGCTGGCCTTGGGATGGAAACAGGGTTGCGAGGGTGCATGGCTTCCGTGAACCCTGATGGGACGCATCCCAGCCAAGTCTTGATGCCAGGGGGGACCCCCAGACTAGGTGCTCTCCTGCCTGCCGGCCGATGCCTGGAAACATGCAAGGGTCCCAAAACCGTGTCCCCAGGATTCTGGGGGAACATTTGAATCCTTCCAGGGGTCAAAGCAACACTCCCTCCCCGTTTCTCCTGGAGAAGGGACCTGTTGCTGTCTCAGCTGTCCCTTCCTTGATCACAGGGCTTCCCTCGGCCCTGTGGAGTGAGCCAGTCAGAGCCTAGGGGCCTGGTGGCTTCTCGGCCTGGGAGTTTTGATGGGTGAGGGCGGCGGGTGGGCCCAAGACATAAGCCATTGCAGAGAGCATGTAAGGAGTCCGCGATGGCACAGATTTGAGGGGCTACCAGGTGGGGCCCAGGGAGAACCATGAGCCCTGAGGCTGCCCTTCTGAACCCTTTACCGTCTTCGCAGGACCGGAGTCCGGGGACCTCTCCTCACTCCTGGAGGGGGCAGAGGAGGGCAAGAGCCGGGCCGCGCCCTCGGAAGAAGCCGGGCCAGGCAGTCGGCGGCCCGAGCCAGGCCCCGCTCCGCCCCTTGGGGCTCTCCTCAGGGAAGCGCCTCGGAGCTTCCAACTCATTCCGGCTGCGGAGAGCGGAGCCGCCCAGCCTCCCGCTGGAACCCCACTCCAGCCCCGCAGCTCGCGTCTGCGGCTCCGAGGGCGCAGGAGCGGGGGGCGCCGCGTTTGCCCCGCCCCAGCGCTCAGAGGACCGGGGACCGCTCCCTGCCGGTGGGAGGGGTCGCAGCCCGCTCCCCTCCCCACCCGCCAGCCCCGGGTTAAATGCGGCCGCCGCCTCCGCTGGCTCCAGCCGCCTGGCAGTCCCCACTTCGGGCACGCAGCCCGCGCCGTTACCTGGTCCAGCTGCCCGGGTGGCTGCGCCCGTCGGCTCCGCTCTGCGGCCGCGCCTCTGAGTTGTCCGGCAGGTTCAGGTGAGTCAAAGGGCCTGGGGGCGCCGAGGGGTCTGCGGGGCAGCAGGCGTCAAGCCAGACCGGGCGGCCGTATCTAACCGCGGCTGCACCGCCTACGGCGCCCCATCTGACCTGCCGTGCCCTGCCTCACCTCTGTGGGGTCCTCCACCAGCAAGGCCGCCCAGATGGGGAGAGGGGACTGTTTCCCTAATCTCCTCCCTGCAGGAGCCCCCAGGAGCGTCCTCAAGGTGTCAGTCTTCAGCCAAGTCTTGAGGAATTATTCAGAGACCTCTCCTCTCTTTCGAGCCCACCTTCTTCTCCACCCTAGGGGCATTTCTGAATCTCTTCTTAGCGCAAGGAGTACCCCTCAGAGGAGCTCCGGGTTCTAGTGTCAGCCCTGTCACCACGTTGCTGTGTGACTTGGGGGAGACATTGCCCTCTCTGGACCTAGTTCTTTCCTCTGTAGAATGAGAGGCTGGAAAGGCGATGAATTTTGAGGCAGTCGCTATTTTGACTTTCTAGGATTACTGGGGTGGAGGCAGGTTGCCAGGCAAGATGTTGGCTCAGGCCAAGAGCAGGATAAGGGGGACCTAAATCAAAATTTGGGATCCAGAGGCTTCTGCAGGTAGGAAAGGATAGGAGGTGGCAAAGGTCCCTTGTGCCTTTACCCGCACGCTGCCCAGGGGTGCTCGCCGCCTCTATGGCCCAAGCTAGAGAAGGCATTCCACGCCTTCCTACCTCCAGCTGCGGCTGGCACATCTGGCGAAGTCACCCTCCCACGACGCGCCTGCCAGAGGGATTTTTGTTACTCTACCAGGCGTGAAAGGCGAAGGCAGAGAGGATCCAGGACGGGAAGGCCGCCTGGAGTGAGCGGCAGGCACCCGATCTTGCTCAGAATGGGCCCATTCACGGAATTGGGGGAGGGGGCGGGGCTGCGGTTGGGTCAGGGGCGGTCGGCCCCCTCTGCCAAGAAACAGCATCAGAGAAATAGCTACCGCAGCTTCAGCACGGGGGCGGGGGGGGGGGTAGGGAGCAAAGAGAGCGAATGGAAGGAAAAGAGGTGACGCCTAGGCGCCAGGTTTCCAGGCAGCTCCGAAGGGAGAAGGGGGCCAGGAGTCCCAGGTTCCTTTGCAGCTCGGCGGGGCGCCTTCTTGGGTCTCGCTTTCCCCATCTGTACAATGGGAGTCCTTCATGATTCTCAAGGGGCGTCGCCAAGGGCCGCGGGAGGGTGAGCGCTCACCTGCTGCCCCCACAGGGTCCATGGCCTCGCTCCCAGGCCCCGGCCGCTCACTCACAGCCTCCGGGCGCATCCACTGCCACTGTCCCCGGAACCCTGCGCACTCGGGCTCCTCGGCCCTCGCGCCGAATATAGCCTGGCCAGGTCTTATCTCCAAGGCCCCGGGGCTGCCGGCCCCCTGTTTGCTCTGGACAGGGGCACCTGCCGGGCAGATGTGGGCTTCCCACGGCCACCTAGCCACGGCGGCCAGACCGGGGAAGGCGCCCCCTGGCGGCCTCTCCTGAGAGCAGGCGGGAAGCGGAGGTGCCAAGCCGCGAGCTCATCTGCGGCGTGGTGGGTTTTGGCCAATGCGCTGCCCGCCTGCGGTGGGGCGGTGCACGGCTGAGCGTGTGTGGTTGGCGGGGCGCGGGGGTTGGGAGGACAGCCACACAGAGGCGCCTTGTGTGCGGAGGGGAGGGGGCCGAGGTGGGGAGCAGCTTCTGTTTGCAGAGGTTCTCCTGCCCCGGGCAGAGCGCGGGGCGCACGCCGGGTGCTCCTCGGAACCCCGCAGGCGCTGGATTGTATCCTGGTGCAGCCACTTTCTTGCCGCGCGATTTTGGGTACCAGCGCTTAACTTTTCTGAGCCGGTTTCCTCATCTGTACAATGGGAACAGTAACAGCCTTAGACTCAGAATCGCCAAGAGGATTAAATGCCATAATGCTTGAAAAGCGTTTAACACCGTGCCTGGCATTTAGGAAAGGCTCTCTTCTTGGTACATTTTGTCTATTTTTATCCACCTTCTATTTATTTATGATTCTGCAGTTCTACAAAACGGAATTCCTTGTATTTCCCAGCAATCTCACTGTAATGAATTTTTTTAATCATGAAAATTTGCAAACCACAAAGTAGAGAGATTAGTAAGATAAACCCATGACCCTCCTCTCCTTCCAAGTGCCGCACCCTGAATAAGAGCTCTGTAAATACTGTCGCTCTGCTCTTTTCCTTCCTCCCTCCAGGCTCTGACACTCCGTTCCCTGTTCCCCAGGCGCCATGACGGGGCTTCTGTGTTCGCCACTGCCCGTGTTGCTGCTCCTTCTCTGGCCGTGGGAAACCCAGCCCCAGTTCGCAGGTGAGCCAGGGCCCAGCCCTCACCAGCGGAGGGAGGAAAGCAAAAGCAGGCTCTCCGTCTGCGGCCAGCTAGGCCTGCTGGGGAGAGAAAAGCAAGGGCTTTGGAACCGTAAGGGGCTGGGTGCGAGTTCACTGCTTCACTTCTCTGGGCCTCAGTTTCCTCATCCGTAGGATGTGGCTCGGAGGTAACAAAGTGGGGCTCATGCAAAACTGCTCATTCGATATTTAATTTTTAAAGTTCATTGAAAAATCAGGAGATTTCACATAAAAGCCCCTATTTGGGACTTCTCTGGAACGATGCAAGGGTCTGCTAACATGGGGTCTGCATGGCTGCATGGCAGCAGTTGGCTGGATCTGCCCCCTTTAGGAGGGATACGGGCTCTCTGGGTGTCCGCCGTGTACCCCAACCAGTTCACTCATTAGTGTTGCCTGCCTGGCCCCGTAGGCATTTGCGGTAGCGGCATCCCCTCGCCCCCTCCCTAGTGGATAACACCTCCTCAGAATAGCCTTCAGAGCTATTAGCGCAGGCCCTCAGCAAATGCTGGATGAGCGAATGTATCTAACTTGTATTTGCGAGGCCAATTCTGTGCTGCACGCACTTATGCCGGGAGACCCCCACTCCGCCCTGGGTTTCCTTGGGGGTCTCCCAGAGGTGAGGCTTCGCTGACTAAGAAAGCGCTCCTTGATCTCCTCGCAGGTCCTGGGTGCCGTGCTGGGCCCCTGGATTTGGTGTTTGTGATTGACAGCTCGCGCAGCGTGCGCCCCTTCGAGTTCGAGACCATGCGGCAGTTCCTGGTGGGCCTCCTCCGCAGCCTGGACGTGGGGCCCAACGCCACGCGCGTCGGCGTGATCCAGTACTCAAGTCAAGTGCAGAGCGTCTTCCCGCTCAGCGCCTTCTCGCGCCGCGAGGACATGGAGCGTGCCATCCGCGCTCTGGTGCCGCTGGCGCAGGGCACCATGACCGGGCTGGCAATCCAGTACGCCATGAACGTGGCCTTCAGCGTGGCCGAGGGCGCGCGTCCGCCTGAGGCGCGCGTGCCGCGCGTCGCTGTCATCGTGACCGACGGGCGGCCCCAGGATCGCGTGGCTGAGGTGGCGGCGCAGGCGCGCGCCCGTGGCATTGAGATCTACGCTGTGGGGGTGCAGCGCGCCGACGTGGGCTCCCTGCGCGCCATGGCGTCCCCGCCGCTGGACGAGCACGTCTTCCTCGTTGACTCCTTCGACCTTATCCAGGAGTTTGGCCTGCAGTTCCAGGGCCAGCTGTGTGGTGAATTAGGGGGCGCTGGAGCGAGGCTCGAACTCTCCAACCGCTTAGATTCCTGTTCCCACCTCTGTGAATCCCATCCCATCCCATCCCATCCCCTCCAGCGTGGCCCCGCCCACTCCAGCTTTAGCCCCGCCCACTAGGTAGCGTTGAGTTGCTCTCGCCTACCGCAGGATGTCACATTCCAGTTCTGCGGACTTTTGCTTAGGCTTCACCCGCAGGAGCAACTTTTAGTGTGCCCCACCCACCAGGATGAGCCGCTGTGGTTTACCACAGGCTTAACGTCCAACTCCAACACCGCCCCTCAACCCAAGCGGCACCGTCCCTCAAAGCTGAAAGCAATGCCCTCTCAAAGCATCATGCCCGCCCACATGGGCATGGCTCCGCCCACTCTCATTTTGGCTCCTCCCGCAATGTGCAAGGTCTGTTCTAGTCACACCTTGAGTTACTCCGCCCACGTTGATATAGCACCTCTCCACCTCCTCGACTTTACCCCTGTGTGGTCCTGCCCTATCCACCGACACATCTGGCCCCGTGCCCTGCTCTTCTGAACCTGTTCACAGGGGCTACTCGGGCCCTGTTCTTACCCTAAACCATGCCAACTGGACTGGCCCCTCTCAAATGAGTCATATCCCATCTAAGGCCGTACTTGAGCATGGTGTCTGCCTCCGACCTCATCTAGCTCTCTCCTGTTGGAGGGTTCTGTCCATCTGTCCCCTGCTGATTCTAGTCTTGTATATCTTCAGGAAAGGACCTGTGTGCTGAGGGGGAGCACGGCTGCCAGCACCAATGTGTCAGCGCCCGGGGCACATTCCACTGCACCTGCAATCCTGGCTACCAGCTGGCAGCAGATAACAAGAGCTGTTTGGGTGAGAGATGTCTCCTGCAGTCCCACTGCTCCTGAGCCTTCTGTGGCTCTCTATTGTCCCAGCTCCAGACAATGAGTTTGGAAGGGCCTTTGGTAGTAAGAGTCCAGCTCCTTCCCTTTACATGTCTAAGAAAGGGGAGGTATTGCCTGGGGTCACACAAGGTCTTGGTGGGACCAGGGCTAGACATCTTGAAGCAACAGTTAAGAGTGCTTTCTATGTCTTTCTCTTCCCTCATTCAGGCTTGTCTCCTACCTGGTTCCAATACACCTCCCAAACTTGTTTGTGTCTTTTCACAGGCACATCATCACCGTTTCTGTTACTTAGACACTGTTGGGGTCTTGAGTTAGGGTCTCCATACCCTCCCCCACATATGCTGCTCATTCCTGCTTCTGCTTCTCAGCTCTTTCTGGGCTGCTCACCTGGGCTGTCCTTGCCACTCCTCTCTGCACCTGAAAATCATTCAAAGCCTGGTTCTTCATGTTTGCCTTCGGAAGAGCTAGGCACACAATGCCTTGCTTATACAGTTGGGATTTTCCTTTTCATGTATGTGTGCCCATTCCTGTGATCATAATGGCAGCTACCATTTACTGGTGCCAGGTGAGTATCAGACATGGTGCTAGGAGAGTTACATATATCATCTCTCAACCTCACAACGACCTGGAAAATGAGGTCATGTGATCCCAATAATCCGGATGTCGGCTGGGGTCTTCCTGTTTCCAGAAACTTAGAAGAGGCTGGCTTGAAGCCCCACTGATGACCCGTGAACATTCAGACCACTCCCTAAGATCTCTGGGAAATTCCCAAGTGCTTACATTCTGTGATCACCCCTCGCTCTGAGCTTCTGCTGAATTCAGTTTATAGGTCCTCTCTCGATGTCTCAACCCCACGCATGCTGTTCTTGTTCCACGCGTGTAAATCAGCCTCTTCCTTGGTTTACATATTTGTGCACACAAGGGCATGTGTGTGTATAAATAAGCGTGAATATGTCCATTTTACTAAAGATGAGGGTGAACAGAGGTGTGAATTACATCTAAGTCAGGTCAGACATACACACACAAAAAAGAAACATCCCTTATTTCTAATTGAATAGTAGACACCCCAGCTCCTGAAAGGTCCTCAGTCACCCAACTACTGGGGACTTTTCGCTGGCAACCTCAACCCACACAGTTGCTCATCTGCACACCATCTCTCTTGTTCTTTTTTTTCCTCTCTCCACTCCCATCTCTTTTCTAGGAACGCCCAATTCTCACTTTTTTTTGCAGGGTAATTCACCTCTCTCCTGTCCCTATTCCCCAGCTCAGCTCTAGGCCATCTTTGCACATCCAAACCATCCAGATACTCAACAGGGCAATGGTCCACCGTCCTCAGAAGAAAGTTGTAATAGCAGTTGCTTTCTTCCGGTGTTTTCCCATTTGCAAGTGGGGAGATGGAGGCTCCAATAGGTAAAGTGGCAGAGCCTGGTCCTCCCCTGTAAGTCAGTGAGCATCTTGTGGGCGGGGATCTTGTCTTCTACAACTGCAGATTCTTGTTCTTATGCCTGGCTTAGGAATGGGCGTGCTGGGATGCATCTAGGGCTTGATTTGGGAGGGTCACTTGGCCCATTAGGAAGGAGGCCCATGCTCATAGAAATTACAGATGCCTGGGTACCACCCCAGACTAATTAAGTCAGGATCTTTGGGGTTGGTATGTTTACAAAGCTCCTCAGGTGGTTGAGCTGTCAGGGCTGAGAAGTGCAGCCCCAGGGCACACTGAACACACCCGTGCACTGAAGGGACTCACGGCTG